TGTGTGTGTGTGTGTGTTTTGATGTGTTTCATACTTTTTTCATGAACACATACTGGGTACAGATCCATGAGTGAAGTCCCTACCTATAAATGTTATCCATCCCATGTAAACATGGAAGAGACGTAAATAACGACACATAAATTGAGGATATGTTAAATTATTTCAGAGCAGTGACTGCCTTCATGTGAAACAAAACTATCACAAAGAGATGCAAAGCAATCAAATATGGACTCTGAAGGATCTAAAAGAGATACAGAATGATGTTGAAGATCTGAAGGATCTAAAAGAGATACAGAATGATGTTGAAGACACACACATTTGCTCAAGTGAGTATCAAAATGTCACCAAATATGTGGAAACTAAACATCAAATGATTATTTTAAGATAAAAAATTGATCATTCGTCCATACGTTATCTGTACCCGTGTATCCGTCCAGGGTTGTGCGGTGCTGGTGCCGACATGCGTGCACACACTCTCACATAAAGAGAATTAACCTAACAGTCATATTTATGGACTGTGGGAGGAAGCTGGAGTCCCCAGAGAGAGCCCATGTGTGCACAATGAGAACATGCAAACTCCGCGCAGAGAAACCCCAGAGAATTGAACCTGAAACCTTCTTGCCGCGAGGTAATGGCACAAATCACTTTACCACCGAGCAGCCAAATACACCCATGTAGAACCCAAATAGAAATTTTGTTGTAATTTTAAAGAACCAAAATGAAATGCACAGATAACAAAAAATGAGCACAGAGATTCAAAACAACAAAAAGTTTATGTGAACAAGAATAAACTTCGGCGACATGAGCTAAATGTAAAATGTGTCAAATGCTAATTTGACTCGTCATGCTAAAAAGATCAAGATCAGCCTTCTAAAAAAGGCTGAATTATCGAAATGGTACTCAGTATGTCCTTAAAGACACACAAAATAGCAACAGTGAAAGGAATTTATTCATATTTCCTGGAAAAAAACACCGAATTTGCTAATTGATCAAAATTAAACATGAGCTAAAAGCTAAAAGAAAGGGAATTCTGGAACTCCTTTCAAATGGAGAAGCAGAATCTACGCCTGACTTGACGGCAAAAACACCAGTTACTCAAATCATAGTAACAAGTCACTAAAGAGACCAAAGCAACTAAAAGAGTGTGTGCATGGTTTGGTTTTTGTGTCTTTAGGTTGTGTGTGTGATTCTCCAGAGAGAAAGTGGGGGTTTCTGAACTCAGTGACCTGCAGCATGCTGCTTTATAACCCATAGGCTATATAAGTTTGTCTCTTCTGCAGTGAGGTGTGACACAGGGCTTGGGTGTATCCCAGGCAGTGCAGTAAAATTCTGCTGGGTGGTTCCTCACAATATTTGGAAGATATTAGGAGAGACGAAAGTTGGGTGTCAAATTTGTTTTCCAGCGCGTCCCTCAGCGGAGCCATGTGCCTCTCAGCAAAATGTCAGCTCAACTTGATCTAATGCCTTCTACAACATGACTGAGTCTAAATGAAGCAAACTATTCAGCTTCATCTCCTCACATTTTTAATTACTTCACTGAATTGAAGGCACTGTTGGTCCATTTTATGCCAAGCCATTGTGACATATAATGATGCCACCCAAATCTCAATACATTTATAAAATAAAAATTAAAGCCAAACCAACATATGTGTTCATGGGACTTTAAATTTAGGACATTAAAATTATGCTCTTATTTCTAAAGCTTATATTTGAATATGCCCACTCACAGCATACTGGGATTTTTTTTTTCCAATTTTAAACCAGTGATAGTAAAATGATGAATTGCTTGTATTTGATATAGCTCCTTCTGGAGTCCTAAAACCCCCAAGGCACTTTACAACAAAATCAGTCATTCACACATTCACACATTGGTGGTGATGAGCTACATTGTAACCAAAGCTGCCCTGGGGCGTGCGGAAAGGCGGCTACCGAGCACAGGCGCCACCAGTCCCTCCGACCACCACCAGCAGGTAAGGAGGGTTAAGTGTCTTGCCCAAGGACACAACAGTAGCATTATCTGCTGGGAGACGGGATGATCCTACAAACTTCCAATTACCTATACAATTACACACGTTACAAAATAATAATAAAAATGTTAAAGCTGTTATGGCATTATGAGTGGAGGACCCAGGGAAGTGCAGAAGTGTGACAATTAGGTGACACTGACACCAGATTGTATAATAGTTGCATTTAGTTCAAAACATGTTTTTGACAGAGGTTTTTGGAGAAAGAACCACTTTCTTTCGTTTTTATTTATTATTATTTTTTTATCTCTACAATGTATTTAAAGCTATTCCATGATAGAACTTTTACAGAGGCATGGATGTCTATTTTCCAAATATCTATAGCAGCTTTAAGGGGCCATCATACCTGGTAATGACACACTGGTTATAGGATAGATATCCTTGATTTAACATTTTCTCTAGCATAAGGAACATATCAGCTGTTGACTAATGGCTGCAACAACATAATCTCAGTATCATATTTAGAATTACGGGATATTTAACCTCTTTCGTTAAAATATCATCCCATCGAGGCATCCAAAATATATTAGTAATCGTAGTCTTGTCATTTTAATGTCTGAAATAAATTTAAACCAGTCATAATAGGAATTCTAAACAGTCCTAGTGACTGTTATTGAATGACCTTTTAAGTCCAATGATGATGTTCAAAACATTTGTACTTATGAAATATTTAAAAATCTGAACAATATGTTGGCTAATGAAATTTGACGAATATATATTTCTACTTCTCTATCAATGTTATTATTGTGTCATATTTAAGATACTTGGTGGGTATATGATGAAATATGATAAAGTTTACTTTGCACAGAGAACGTGCTTTACTCTATTATTCTAAATTCGTGTCAGAGGTTTTTTTTAAATTATTTCGACAAATTGCTACTTTTGACAAGAAAACTGAAATATGGGCACCAGCACTGAAAATCCCGTCTAACTTTTAAAAGATTAATTGGCTTGCCATACTTTCCTATTCTCGCGAGGATTTGTCCCCCTGCTCCACACATACACCATCATCGTCGCCGCCTCTCCCTTTCCGCCCCTGCTCGCCTCTCTCCTCTTCAGTCCTGCTTGCCTGTCAGAAAGGTGTTCCAGTGTTGGAGGCTAGGCTACCCTCCTCTCGGACCCCGAACGAGAGCCAGCCGCCGTCGTACCCCAAGGCTCGGGCTCCCCCTCTCACGGCTCCCAACCATGGCAACCACCGCTACTTCCACACGGTTTACCGACGAATACCAGCTATACGAGGAGCTCGGGAAGTAAGCAGCAGCAGTGTGCATCGTGTTTGTCTTGACGTTTTGTCCCCCACCCCCGCAACCTCGCCTCGTATTATTTCTGCTTAGCCGGCTAGCAGGTGATATTTAACTCGAATCGCGTTCTGACTGACAGGTTTGGTGATAAATGCCTGCCCATGTCTCTGTTGGAGTGGGTATTGTCGCGTTGCGGTCATGCTAAATAAAGGTACACTAACCAGCTACCATGCCGATATTGATAAACTAGCCGATTTAGCCAACTATCGTTGCGCCTTTTATTTGCAAGCGACGATGAATATCGCGCACAGGCTGCTGCATTGACGGCTGTTCGCCCTTCCGTGTTCGCGAACCGGTGTTTTCTGGTCAGCCGGAGCTGTCAGCGGGGCACCGAGAGACGCCGGAGCCGTGTGACATTTCACCGGCCCACGGCTCTGACAGCTAGTCTGTTCGGGCTCGGTATACCTGCGGCTTTCATCGCCAGCTAACTAGGCCGGACTCTATTCTCCTTCTCTAGCAGCTGTAGATGGTTTGTGTAACTGTGTAGAAAAAGGCTAGGCACCCCTGAATGACTCGATGAGGAAGTTATTCGCTGCAGGCTGCGCTGTTTGCTCTGAAATGCTGGCTCAGTCCATCATCCGTGTTATCAATACATTCTTTCCCCTTTATAGATTTATCACTGAGGCGATCACCCACTCCCGACGTTTATTATCTCTATTTGACCGTCTTACTGTGTGGGAGGCAGGGTGTGTTTTCTCCTTACTGTGATGACTGTATCACTAGATTATGTGACCCAATTTCTAAGCAGTTTCACCTCTATCACCCACGAGCAAACGCATTCTTCTGACTTGCCCAATCTCTTTATGCCTATAATAGATGTTTAATAGATGTTTTGAGGTGTAAATTTGTAGAGACAGTTGGATCATGTTATAGCTGTAGTCACAAACCTTTACTAGCAAAACCATTCTACTAGGTGGAATATAGATAATTGAATGCCAAAACATAAACATAATAGTATGCAGTTTTTGAGCATTTTTATCACAAAACCTGATGTATGTGTCACAGGAATGTGCACTCCAGACTATAGCTCTCTTGTCTGTGGTAGCTGCTCCCTCTTTGTTATTTGTACCTGAATTAGCAGCAGCAGGGCAACATTGGTCCCACAAAGATATACTAGCCCTAATTTCCATCTGCCATTTCCACTCTGTCCTTTTTTAATTGACAGTAATCAATGGCAGTGATTGCACCACCGGTGTTCCCATACACATATACACACACCTATACGTCCTCCACACTTTATCTGGCCTCCACTATCTGATTCTCGACTTAGCATGCACCTCTGCTTCCTTACCCCCTGCAACTGTTTTGTTATTGCATTTTGCTCTGTCATAGGTTATTAACATCCAAGTACTGACTTGTACTTGTGTCACCTGTCACCTCTCGTTTGCCGTTAAATAATTGAAGCTAAAAGCAGAGTCGCAGGAGCAGAGTGCAGCAGAAAGTGGCGGCAGGAGCCTTCGGCAGTCGTAAAAAGCTGCTTTGCTCTTGTCAGAAAAGCTGGAAAGACTAAAACTTGCAGGATGTACAGGCACCCACAGAAATCAGCTGTAATTATGTCTCTGTGAATACTGCAAATCACAAGAGTAGCATGGAGAGCATTCATCTAGGTCAATGTGAAACTCTTTAGCGTAGCAGTTGTTAGCATTGTTCTCGCTTTTGTGCTTGAGCTCATTGATAATGTGAATGTAATAAATGTTGACTATTGTAGTGAGAACGGCAGCTGGTCTTTGTTGTCTCTTCTAAACCCATTTTACTCTGTCAGTCGGTTGAGTCCTATTGAGCGTATTTCAAAGATTAGCAGACGTTCATTGTCATTCATTTCTAATCCAAGACCTTAACAGATGTGATATTATTGCTGATTGCTTATCTCATCTTTTCATATAACCTAGACTGATGCCCTGATGCAAATGGCTGTTAAAAGTATGTGTGTGTGGGTTACATTCACTAACAAACCACTGCTGCTTGTGTGGATTGTTCTAAATGTCACACTTTGTATGTGCAGGCGAGCGCTTGTGAAAAGGAACTAATTTCTGGTTGTTTGTTTTCTTTGTTTTTAGGGGAGCATTTTCAGTGGTTCGTAGGTGTGTTAAGAAGTCATCCGGACAGGAGTATGCTGCAAAAATCATCAACACTAAGAAGCTTTCTGCAAGAGGTATGGTACCACACCAGCAGAAACTTGTATTTGCATGATTCCTTTCATGCTTGTTATAAGTTTAGCCTCAACTTAAGCTGTGAAAGCCCTTATGTTGCTGTACATTTAACATTTTAGGAAGTAGAGAGGAATGCTTTTGCATAACTGATCTGTCTGCTTACATAAGTGGTCTGCTGCAAAAACTCTTCATAGCCAGCAATGTCAGCCAGTTTAATTAGTCGGTAATTAAAGTGTCAAAACCATTTTTAGGATTTTAGCTTTAATTTAGCAACTGACAAAACTACCATTTCCTCTGCACCTCTAGTATGTGCTGCTGAACTGTGTATGCTGGTGGTGTTCAGCTCCTGTTATTAGTCAGCTCTGACCTCCATATGAGCTAAGGGCTTCAGCAAGCTGAGTTACAAACATCTTCACAGGTCGGTGGAGTCTGAAGTGTAGAAATACTTAAAGCGAACTGATTATAAACGTCTGGTTTGTTCCACTCATTAAGGTTTCGTTGGCTTACCACAGTTGCATCAGAAAAGGAGACTCAATGATGAACTACCATAAAAGATAAACCCACATGAAATTTTATTATGCTGCAAAATGGGCTTTATGAAGCTAGACAGGTAGTCTGTCTGCAACACAAGTGAATACATTTCTGAAGAAACGTTCAGAACAGAATCTGGACGCTCACTTGATTGATTAATGCTTTGCTTGTGTTTGTTCTGCTTTTATGGGGCCTACAGTATCGATTTTACTTCCTTTGGTTCTAAGCACATTCAACTGTGTAAGGTAACGCTAATTGCTGAATAAATAACATTTCAATCAAACTTATTTAAGTAAGTAGGGTTGTCACGGTAACCGGTGTAGCGGTAAACACCGGTAAAAAAGTTGACAATAATAATAACCGTCTTGTTTTAAAAAAAACTATATTATCTCGGTGGGTTTACCGTGGCTGCGGTGTAGGCGCGGTGACCCTTACCAGCCACCGTATCATCTGCTTAAGTTGTCGGCGGCACATGCACACTTTGTTGTTTACAACCAAAACTTTCTTGAAGCTAAAGCTGAAATAATGGCCAAAGGAGGAGACGGCAGGGCTCAGGAAATTTTTTATCCCTCAAAGAAGACAAAGTCGGAAATATGGGCATCTTTTGGATATTTGAAGAATGCCGAGGGACAGTTGATAGAAGACGGCTATCCTGTTTGCAGTACATGCAGGAAAAAGTGTCTGTGAAAGGCAGCAACACTTCAAATCTCATGACACATCTGCGTGACCATCACCCACAACTCTACAGTCAACGCAAGGCAAGCTAACGTTAGCGTTTTAGCTAAAATGCATGATCTGAGGATTTGGGCTGAGGGAGAATGCAACGAGTCGCTATATAAAGCAGCCGCAGCGCCGCTATCTGCATATAAACCGTGCCGCAGACACCGCCATATTGAAATTATGCTATGCATTACGGGGCTCCCAGCGGCAGATAGAGTTGGTCTCCCTCCGAGAATAATTATGAATTTAACAATGATTACTGCCTGATGACATTTTCCCAAATCTGCAAAGCTCACTGGAAGGACACAAACCGAGGACAATATTTTCCTGATATAGGGTTTATTACTCAAGTAAGGGTAAAAAAGTGTTTGAACCCATCTAGGGGGCGCTGTGATCATTTACAACTAAATCCCATAGAGGTCATCTTTGGTCATCAAAGATGGTTTTCTGTTAATTTGACATCAATCAAACGTTGCATGGGTCATCTAGAGCCAAAAGGCTGTAAGTGGGCGGACTTAAAGTGATTTGACTGAGTGAGCACATACATGTGTTGAATGCAGTTGTGTGATGACTCCCACCAAGTTTGATGTAGTTTGGAGCTTTTTTGCAGAAGTTACAAAGGTTTATTGTATATAGGGGGCACTGTCCCAAATTTTGGAAATGGTCCATGAAGAAGTTTGTAGGTTGACAACAATCATTTGTGTGCAGTTTGGTGTGAATTGCATCATGCATGTGTTATTCAGGGCCTAATTATTCTGTCAGGGGGCGGAGCTAAAGCCATATCAACCAATGACCACAGGATTGTGTTGGGTGCCTTTGTGTAATGACATGTAGCAAGTTTGGTGCAGTTGTGACCTCGTCTGTAGGAGTTATTACAGTTTTAAAGGTATGTGGGGGGCCCTGTGGTGATATTATACAACGTTCACCAACCGTTTGTGCCTCATTGGCTAAAGGGATGATTGTTGATTGCCATGTTCAGTCTTGTGCAGATCAGAGGCTGTTTGCGGAAGTTACAGTCAAACGTAAGGTCACGGCATCACGCCAGAATTCACCATGGCATCAGAGACCCTCCCTTTCTGGAAAGCTATCAGAACTAAATGGTCATTACAGCATCATGAAGTCAGTGCATGAACTTAATGTCATGTTGACTAAGTTAGAGGGGACAAATAAGGGCATTTCACCATAAAACAGTCGACTTCCTGTTGTCAGGGACGTAGGTGATGTCAGCTGTCCACATCGTCACGGTCTTGAGATGTGGTCAGTGATCACACAAAGTTTGATATGGATCTGATCATGCACATGGGAGTTATTACATCAAGTAATGTAATGGCGAAAGATCAAAGTTTGAGGCTTAGCCACACCCACAACTTTCAACTTTTGAAAAATCAGACGGTTGAATTTCCCCCCCATGTCTTAAGAGTATATAGCAGAAGTGTGAAGGTGATTGGTGAAAAGGGCGATGGGGCACCACTCTCCAAACTACGTGTGCGAAAACCACTAAATTGAGAACTTGGACCAAAATGGCAGACCTTCTGTGCGACTTTGCCCTAGGCTCCAAGAGACTTTTTTGTAGGTCCTGAGACACTACATTAGTGTACCGAATTTCGTAATCCTCAGTCAAAGTATGGCTTGGGGCTGACAGTTTTAACCCTTTGATGCATAATGGTCACTACAGTGGACAGGTACTTAAAATTGTTATTTATTTATTTTTGCTATTAAGCACAGCTGTTGAAGACTTTATTGCATTTGAACCCCTCCATCTGTACTTCAGTAAGTCAAGCCAACATTTTTCATGTTCAGATTGCACACTGTCCACTGAGGTGGACATGTAATAAATTATTTGTAAATTAAATTTTACAAAAAATATGTAAATATGAAATTTGTTTCATTCACACCTAAAGATGAATGAAAAAAATTGTTTAAAAAATCATGGTTGACAATTTCATAATTCATGCATCAAAGGGGTCATAGGGGGCGCTATTTCAGAAAATAGGCCACGCTCACAAACCTATCATGTCCATTTCTAGGATCACTCACCAGAGAATTCATGGTGATATCATGATAACTGAGCAAATGAGAAGCAAACATATTTACATGGCGTGATGGCGAATTTTGCCATGCTCCCAAAGCCCCGCCTTTTTTTGAAACCTGCCAATACTGGACACCAAGTTACCTCAACTTGTCTACTGCTATTTGCCAGAGATTACTGGTGATTGGGTGAAAGGAGTCTAGTAGGGAGCCGTGAAAAAAGGAGTGGCGTGGCGACAGGTCAAAGTTTGAGGCTTAGCCACGCCCACACCTTTCAACTTTAGAAAAATCCATCGGTTGAATTTTCCCATATAGCTTAAGAGTATATAGCAGAAGTTTGAAGGTGATCGGTGAAAAGGGCAACGGGGCATCATTCTTCAAACAATGTGTGCAAAAACCACTAAATCGAGTACTTGGACCAAAATGGCCGACCTCCTGTGCGACTTTGTGCTTGGCTCCAAGAGACTTTTTTTGTAGGTCCTGAGACACTACATTAGTGTTCCAAATTTTGTAATCCTCCAGTTAAAGCATGGCTTGGGGCTGAAATTTTAACGGTCCTAGGGGGCGCTATTTAAGAACATAGGCCACGCCCACCAGATTTTCACATAAGATTTTTTAGGGGGCCGGACTAGGATCACTCACCAGAAGTTTCGTGGCGATATCTTTAGAAATGACGAAATGGGAGGCAAACGTATGGCCACAGCAGTACGCCTGACTTCGCCGTGCCGCCACAGCCCCGCCCTCTTTTTAAAACTTCCATAAAGTGACGCCAAGAAACACCCACTTGTCTTGAGTTACCAGCTACAAATGTGTGGTGATTAAGTGAAGTGGGGCGATCTGGGACCTATCACAGTAAAACTTCACCTTTTTGGTCCTGAGGGGGCGGGGCTTGCGTGATGTCATCACCCGACCATTCAGTTTAGTTGGGGTTGGGGTTAGGATGTGGCTGGATATCGAATGACCACAGAAATTTTTGTAACTACTTTATTAGAGTATGAAAGTATAGCCATTTATATTTTTTTGGCGAGTAGTCGAACTTCGAGGCCTGGCCACGCTCCCTCAGCATATACGAAAAGTCAGTTTTATTTTTTCTATTTGATCGCCCATCCCTTCTGAGCAATTTCCCACAACTTTCAAAACGATCGTGCAAAAGATTATCGAGTAAATCAATCAGAAGCGGACCCTAGAAACGGCCAAAACGGGGTCAAAATCACCACTTCAAAACAAAATGGCCGACTTCTTGTTTGATGTTGACCATGGTTGCAAGAGACTTTTCTGTGCGGACTGTTGAGTACTACAAGTGTATAGAATTTCATAACTGTATGACAAACTAAGGTTTATGGAGGGGGGTATTTTTCTCATTCTAGGGGGCGCTGTGGATTTAGTTTTATTGTGATATTTTTTGGGACCTTTTAAAATACCAAATTTTACACCATGCCTGACATGTGTGCAATAATTCCTGAGTTTTCGGGTATGTTAAGGCCTCCAAAAAGCCAATTTACTTGGCGGAAGAAAAATAAACAGAGCAGATTCAATAGGCCTTCACAGCGAAAGCGCTGCTGCGGGCCTAATGGAAGAAGAAGAAGAAGAAGAATGTTAAGAAAAAGAGAGCGAGTGAATGGGAAAGAGGGAAATCAGTGGATCCTGGGGAAGGTGGAATAGGTAGGGAGAGCAGAACAAGGAGAGGGTGATGAAGGTCACACAACAGCCAGCCTGAACAGGT